GGAATATAGGGACACTGTCAGAGTATACAGGGATGCAACAAGGAAGGCCAAGGCCCATTTGGAATTAAATCTGGCAAGGGATTTCAAAGACAGTAAGAAGGGCTTCTTCAAATACATCAGTAGAAAAAAAGAAGACTGGGGAAAACGTAGGCCCACTGCTGAATGAGGCAGGTGCCCTGGTGACAAAGGTTACAGAGAAGGTAGAGTTGCTGAATGCTTTTTTTGCTTCAGGCTTTACCGCTGAGATCAGCCCTCAGGAATCTCAGACCCTGGAGACAAAAGAGGAAGTCTGGAGAAAGGAGGACATGCCCTTGGTTGAAGAGGATCGGGTCAGAGATCATTTAAGCAAACCTGATATCCACAAATCCATGGTCCTGATGGAATGCACCCACAGGTGCTGAGGGAGCTGGCCAGTGTTACTGCTGGGCCACTCTCCATCATCTTTGAAAGGTTGTGGAGAATAGGAGAGGTGCATGAGGACTGGAAGAAAGCCAGTGCCATGCTAGTCTTCAAAAAGGGGCAAGAAGGAAGATCCATACAACTACAGGCCAGTCAGCCTTACCTCCATCCCTGGAAAGGTGATGGAACAGCTCTTCCTGGAGGCCATCTTCAAGCAAGATAAGGTGATCAAGAGCAGTCAGCATGGATTCACCAAGGGCAAATCATGCTTAAACCTATCTGATGCCCTTGAATGATGAGATGGGTAGATGAGGGGAGAGTGGTGTCTGTGGTCTACCTTGACTTCAGCAAGGCTTTTGATACTGTTTCCCATAAAATCCTCATAGACTCGCTCAGGAAGTGTGGCCTAGATGAGTGGATGGTGAGGTGGATTGAGAACTGACTGCATGGCAGAATTCAGGGTGTTGAGCTCAGTGCCGCAGAGTCTATTGGGGGCCTGTAGTTAGCGCTGTCCCCCAGGGGTCAGTACTGGGTCCAGTCTCGTTCAACTTACTCATCAATGACCTGGAACAGAGTGCACCCTCAGCAAGTTTGCTGAGGACACAAAGCTGAGAGGAGTGGCTGAGGGATGGGCTGAGAGGAACCTCATGAAGTTCAAGGGCAAATGTAGGGTCCTGCACCTAGGGAGGAATCACCCCAAGCACCAGTGCAGGCTGGGGCCTAACCTGCTGGAGAGCAGCCCTTCAGAGAGAGGCCTGGGAGTTCTGCTGGACAGCAAGCTGACCATGGGCCAGCAATATGCCCTTGTGGCCAAGAAGGCCAACGGTATCCTGGGGTGTATTTGGAAGAGAGTTGCCGGCAGGTCAAGGGACGTGATCCTCTCCCTCTGCTCAGCCCTGGTGAGGCCTCACCTGGAGTATTGTGTCCAGCTCTGGGCTCCCCGGTACAAGAGGGAAATGGAGCTACTGGAGCGAGTTCAGAAGAGTTCTAAGATGATTAGAGGAATGGAGCATCTGTCATATGAGGACAGGTTGAGAAAACCAGGCCTGTTCAGCCTGGAAAAGAGAAGACTGAAGGGAGACCTTATCAATGTGTATAGATATCTAAAGGGAAGGTGTTAAGAGGATGGAACCAGACTCTTTTCAGTGGTGCCCAGCGACAAGACAAGAGGCAGCAGGCACAAACTGAAGCACAGGAAGTTCCAGCTGAATACGAGAGGCACTTCTTTACTGTGAGGGTGACAGACCACTGGGACAGGTTACCCAGAGAGGCTGTGGAGTCCCGTTCTCTGGAGATATTCAAAGCCTGCCTGGATGCCATTCTGCACAGTGTGCTCTAGGTGATCCTTTTCAGCAGGGGGGTTGGACTGGGTGATCTTCAGAGGTCTCTTCTAACCTTGGTCCTTTTTCTTTCATATGTCTAGAGCATTAATTTTTTAACTCAGCCTCACCTCGAGTACTGTGTGCAGTTCTGGGTACCACAGTACAAAAAGGACATGAAACTATTGGAGTGTCCAGAGAAGGGCTACAAAGATAATGAAAGGCTTGGAGGGGAAGATGTACGAAGAGCAGCTGAGGTCACTTGGCCTGTTCAGCCTGGAGAAGAGGAAGCTGAGGGGAGACCTCATCACATTCCACAGCTTCCTTGTGAGGGGGAGTGGAGAGGCAGTTGCTGATCTTTTCTCTTCAGTAGCAAACGATAAGACCTGTGGGAATGGGGTCAAGCTGCAACAGGGGAGGTTCAGGCTGGATATCAGGAAGAGGTTTTTCACTGAGAGGGTTGTCGCACACTGGAACAGGCTTCCCAAGGACATAGGCACAGCACCAAGCCTGTCAGAATTTAAGAAGCGTTTGGACTGTGCACTTAGTCATATGGTCTGAGTTTCTGAGTGGACCTGTGTGGAGCCAGAAGTTGGACTCGATGATCCTTACAGGTCCCTTCCAATTCAGGATATTCTATGATGCTATGAATTTTAAGAGTAGTTACATACACTCATTAAACACATGTTCCTGTGGAAAATACAGATCCTCTGTATTTATACAGAGGATTTGTAAAGAATTGACATTATCATTGCTTGTCAAATGAATATGCTGTTCTTCGATGTTTCCCTGGTGTTCAGAGCCAAAGCATGAAACTCAGGAACTTTAGTGCATCTCCATTGTTAGATGGTAAATCAATAAATATACTTCCAGAATGAATTATTTAAACTGATCTTCTGTGGCCTTATTAGATAGTACAAGGAACAAGTGCACATCCCATTGAGTGATAAATCAAAAAGATTTTGAAATGGTATTTACAGACTTGCAGAGTTAAATGCCAGCCACTCTTGTAAATGGGCACGTAAAGCAGGCACTGTTGTGTAGCATTTACATCAAACTTCATCAGATTGGGTGAAGCCCTTACTTGGAAGGAATGCGGCCGTAGGAGCTTAAACTTTTGTATAGGTACTCACGATAATGCACTTTCATTCTCTCTTCTAACTCTTTCACAGGCATAGTTTTGTTTGTGTCAGCTCTAGCACTCTTGATTCCTTACTATTACTTCTTTACTAATGATTAATTTCCTTTACTTTAGGGAATATTTAAAGTAGATACTCTAGTGTTGGATGGGATCTTCATGTTCGTGGTTATACCTCTGTGTTCATAGTTGTACCCATTTGGCTTGTGACTTTGGACAAATTACTAATTCTGAAAAACTTGAGAAATTTATTGTAAGAAGACAGACTAAATTTTTTGCTTTTCACCTTGATTTGCCCAACAATGCCAGTGAGGGGTACTGTACTGACCGGAGCAGCCATAAATATGACCTGGCCCTAATGGGAACAATACTGACAGAAAATGTCTGTTAAAACACTAGCAGAAGAAAATGCCTTCCAGTCTGAAAACTGCTTGACCCATGAACCAGGAGTATATTTGGAAGGTATCACTGGCCTCCTGAGGTGCAGCTGAGTACCTAAGAAGTGGGGGCATCCTGAGGATACCATCCATAAAGGGAAAATAAGGAACTGGAACATCAACGTACCATCTGAAAAGCAGAAAGTAGTCTGGGAAAAGTAAAAATATTTTGTCTCAGAGAACAGGAAACCTCATCTATTGGTTCCCTCATGTGAAACAAATTAGCAGCATCTGTTGGCTGCTCTAAGAGGTGGTATCCTATGCCCTCTTATGTCTCAGAGATACAAAAATTGCTGTTTTTCTGTCCAGGATGGAACCTTTCTTTCTGAAAATGCCCTGTGCTGTACAAACTTTCCTTTCCTATAGGACATCCTAAACAAATTTTACATCTGCTGTGGAGGCCTGTCTGTCTCGAAACTCTGTAATGCAGATTATATTTGAAGCGAAAGTTTGTTATTTGTTTGGTCCTGCTCCTGAGCCTATTTCTGATTATCTGTCTCTCCTGAGAGTTTTTTGTTTGTTTGTTTGTTTGTTTGTTTGTTTTGTAATTAGACCATTTTGAGGTCAGTATTTTATAATTAGATCCCTCTGAGGTTGATTTGGCATTGCCCTTCCCTCCCACCTCCGCTTCTGAGATCAGTTTGATGCGATATCAGTAGTTTTATTAAAGTTGTATTTATGTACATAATCTGCCATAAGTAGTTGATATTTATAACTGTCATAAGTGTAGTTGTTATAATATTGATAACTTCACAATTCGTAAGTATATTCAGTACAATAACTTACTATACTATACTATAGTACTATAACTTGTTGAACCTATGCTAATCTGTATTTGCTACTATATTACTACTTCTTACTGTGTCTAATTGCCTTCATACCTCTAATTGCTACTACTGTTAATCTGTACTATTCCCCAGATATCTACTACATATAAAAATTTGCTTTCTGGTAATATTGTAACAGCTTTTTATCTATATACATATCTATATAATCTTGCCTTTTTAATCATAGTGTATTTGCTAGTGGTAATTTGTGGTAATCCATGATAAATAGACAAGAAATCTTCATTGTCTTTGTTATTTACGGAATCTTAAAAAAACACTTGCAATCTCTATGCAACCACAGGCTAGGTAACTATGTGACTGTGACTGTGCTGGTCAACATACTTGATCCACTGCATCTCACTGTGTAGTGGGTTTACATGACAAGGTTTTGGTAGCAGGAGGCCATAGGGGTGGCTTCTGTGAGAATTCAGAAGCTGCCTCATGTTAGGTAAGGGACCCACTTCCTACCAGAGCTGAGCCAATAAGAGATATTGTTTGTGCTCAGCTTGTACCAGTATTCAGTATTTTTTCTGTTAGAATACATAGTGAAAACAAATATCCTCATTCTACAGAATTCTTTTTATCATAATTTTGAATCTTCATTATGCTTTTTTAGTACTTACTGCTTTCTCTCTGTCTTTTTTTTTCTATTCATCATATTTTTCTCTTCAACCAATTCTGTAGATTTATTCTGTAAAAAATATGACCATCTCAGTACTTTTTAATGCAAAACATCTGAGTTTACTTACTTATGGTGCCAGTAATATCTCTGTATCTCAATGTGATTAAACATCAGATGTTGTATATTTTATTCAAAGTAATACTTTGTTTATTTACACTTCAAAATATTTCCATCTTTTGTTTTTCTGCTTCATTTCAGTTGTTGCAGGGCTTCACAAACAAACAAAACAGTTTTATTCAAGAAAATCTGAATGTAGTAAGTATATATAGCAATAATTTCAGACTTTTTGCAAAGATGGCCCTTTCACTAGAAAGGAACTGAATAACTTAGCAGAAGTTTCTAATCAAATTTAGTGGAGTTACAGACTGATGAATTTGTTCTTAATGGTGTTATATGGCCTTTCATAATGAAATTGAACATGTTTTGTTTGATTCTTCTTGTTTTTTGTTTTACTTTGAACATGGAACTCTTAGAAAACAAAGAATTTTATTCATTTCAACTTGAATTCCATTCAAAAACAATAGATCTGTGGTGCAAGTTCTGTTTGGTGTTGCTCTGTAATCGCTGCAAGATAAGGTTCATGATGTCTTTGTTTTAAATCACATTGAAAAGCTGGTGCAGAAAACGCATCACCTGCAGTGCAATCTGATTTAAGAAAACATCACTGAAAAAGCAGTGCTGCTCATTGATAAGAGTTAAATGCTGAGACTTTAATGAAGTGTTCATATTGCAGATACTGTATACCATAGGAGAAGCATTTTTACATAAAGGCAACAAAAATATAGAATGTTTCCATCCACAGATATTTTTACATACTACTGTGGCTAAAATAAAGAGTTTTATTTGAAAAACATATTCAGAATGCCTTATGAAAGAAGACTTCCTGGAACCTTAAGAATTAAAAAAGATGAAAAGATAGAAAAAGATATGCTGAGCAGGAGAAGGGTTTGATGTTCTGAGAAAGCTGAATGTAATAATCAAAACATTGAAATGTATTAGCTAGTCAGTAGGTAGGTAACATTACAACAGCATTTTAAAGTTACAATCTTGATTTTATCTTTAATAAGAGAGTGCTTCAGAAGTCCTACCATTCACAGATGTACAAAACAAACAAACAGAGAAAAAAAAACCACAATCAATCAAACAACAACAACAAACAGAAAAATCAGAGAAAATTAAAAAAAAAAAACAAAACAAAACAAAAAAAAAAAAAACAGAAAACAGAAAAGAAAACAGAGAACCATTTAGAATGATCTGTGGAGTACTGAAGTAAAGTTTAGAAATAAAAAGTTTAGTATTCAGAACAAGTTGAATTGAGCATATATACAGTATCCAAAAATACTAGAGGTATACATTTATTCATGAAAGATAGCAAAAATGAGGAAAATACTTGGTCTTTACTTTCTTAATATTATGTCATGTCTGTATGTTGTATATAATACTTTCATATTTTTGTACAGGAAAAGCATAAGCAGGAGTTAGAAGATATGAGACGAGCTGGACATGAAGCTTTGAGTATTATTGTTGAAGAATTCAAGGTAAACAAGTTGTCAAGTTAGCACATTTTCCAGTGTAACATCATATAATAAGTATGCATTACCGGCAGTCTTCTTTAGTATTAGCTAGTTTGGTTGCTCAGACTCTTTAATTATAAAACTGTCTTTTCAGTTGTTTCCAATTTATTCTGTTTGGCCTGAAAGTTTACATGACATGTTTTTTCACTCTGCACTTTGGGAAACTTCAGATAAAGCATGTTAGCCAAGTGATGAATCTTAAAACTGGAATAAAACAAAAGTTCTCAGTCAGTTGTGGTAAACTTCACATTAGCTACATTTTGGACCTCTCCAGTCTCAAAAATCTATACTTGCAGGAAAGCAGCCTTACAGAGCAATTGAGCAGTTTTGTTTGTTTGTTTTGTTTTATCTATAGAACACTAAGACAAGAAGATATGTATAAATTAAGGCAGAATGTGTAAACCTCTCATGCTGTTCCTATTTGTGCTGAGTCAGTAAGATACAAGAACTGGATGTTATTGTGGAGGATAAATGTGTCTTTTGTACTGTTACTAAAACTTGCTAATAAGTGCACAAAACTGATTCAAAAACAGAGATTATTGTTATTTCAGATAAAAACTGAGTCATCTTAGGTGTAGGTATGGCAAAAGATTCTAATTAGACTTAATAGAGGTAAAAAAGATCTGACTGGACAAAGAAACTGATAAGAAATGGAAGATAAGGCTCTTGCTGGGAATGATAAGGGAGACATGAGACATAGTATGCAATTAGAAGCTGGGATCACTAAACTGACAATGTTGTTAGTTAGGTTTGGAATGGAACTGGCAAACTAAAAAGGATTGGATTGAGGCTGTGTCATCTGATTCAAGCAATAAACTAAAAGCTTGAGCATAGAAGCTGATCAAGAAGCCTGCAATACTTTGCTGGGGAGGGTAGGCTTCTTTATTTTTAGGAAATCTCCAAAACTTACTCACAATGTATTTTTCTTTCTGGAGTTGTCAGGATCCGCACCTCCAGGAGAGCCATTTATGCCAGATTCCAAGTCTGCCACAAAATTCGAAATCTAAATGCTGTTCAAAAAGGTGGTTGGTTGGTTGGTTTGATTGTTTGTTTTGTTTGGCCTCTGCTTCTTATGTGTAAGGTAGGCCTACCAAGTTCTAAATCTGAGAAAGTTACACGATGTAAAGGACCTGCTGATGCTTTTAGGACCACCGACTTGAAGACAGTTTATGTAGTAGGCTTCAGAAAAGTATAAAACACGAAACAGAATACCATTTAATAATTTTGCTAAAAAACTGTTATCAGTGTTCTAGTCAATATTGAAATTGGACTATCTATAGAAAAATGTCTGTCTTCATCAATATAACTTATACAAATTTCATCAAAAGGGAACCTATTCAGAAATAAGTTTCATTAGTTTTCATTCCAGAGAGAAGTTAAGCTTGTTCACTGGCGATGTCCCTTTGCTCCAGACCTTCCTCATTTTGTTCAGGAGAATCGTTGCATTTCTTTTCCCTTCTTCTTACTCCTTCGGGATTTATTATTTATTTATTTATTTATTACAATGGAAGTTCTCAAATGACAGAATTACAGACTGGTTTAGGTTGGAAGCGATCTCTGCAGGTCAACTCTTACAGCCCCTCTGCTCAAGCGGGGTCACCTAGAACAGGTCGCCCAGAACCATGTCCAGACTACTTTTGAATATCTCTTAGGAGGGAGACTTCACAACCTCTCCAGGCAACCTGTTCGAGTGCTCTGTCAACTGCACAGAACACAAGTGCTTCCTGATGTTCAGAGGGAACATCCCGTGTTCCAGTTTGTGCCCATTACCTGTTTGTGCCCTTGTCCTGTCACTGGATACCACTGAAAAGAGCCTAGCTCTGTGCTCTGTTTGCACCCTTCCTTCGGGTATTTGTTGATGAGATCCCCCACTGAGTCTTCTCTTTCCCAGGCTGAACAGTCACAGCTCTCTCAGCCTTTCCTCATAGGAGAGAGAAATGAGTGTGTCCTTCAGAATGTCCGCTTTGGATGGCCGACCAAACACATGGTGTATCTCAGCCTTTTTCACTTCCATTTCATACTGGCTGGGTATAAAATGTTTGTCTGTTACCATGTGCCTTATTTTGAAAAAAACGGTGAGCAATTTGTAACTGTGGCTTTTACGTTTCCTCCTTTTTATTTCTGAAATATAAGCAAATTGTGAAATACAAAAAATCTCTAGTAGTGAATGAATAGTCTTCACCATATCAATGCCTTTGTGTGAGCTAAAGGAGAGTTTTGCATGGATAACGTTGTCCTTTTTAAGGAATGACCTCTTCATGTATAGCTGGGTAAAGAGAGATACTTATGTGCTGTATCATTTTTTAAAAGATATTTAACAAGTCAACATCAGCTCTGAAGATCTGATTTGACACCTGGAAAAGAAGGTTTACATTTTTCAGTTTCTATGATTTGGTACAAAAGATTAGGCTTTTAATTGAATACTGTGATTCCAAGAAATATTTATATTTAGCATATTATTTCTCATAGACTGTTTATATTCAAGTTACATAAAGACATTCTTTAATACCAGGGAACTGTGGCATGAATATACTTCATACAAGTCTTCCTGTTGCCTCATTGGTTAGTTGCCATATTTTTGTCAATGAGATTACAGTACTCCGAGGAGAAATAACATCAGATATGCCAGCCTCTGTGTAAAATACTGCTACCAACCTTTTCTGCAAACATAAAATGGGTTAGCAGGAAAATAAGTATGCTATCTTAAATATATATATTTCTCTTACAGCTTAAATACCTTTTTTCGTAAGCCTTTACCATGTGGGGGAAAAGATGTGGAATTACAGTGAACTGAATCCTTAGAGAATTTAGTGAAGGCAAACCTGTTCTATGGTTTTGAGAAAAATCTCATGGATTCTTTTAAACTTTTCATTCATGGTTAATATTTCAATATGGAACAAGGGTTAAGATTTTTTTCCTGAAGTGAATGAGTCATAGAATCATAGAATATCCTAGTTGGAAGGGACCCACAAGGATCGTCAAGTCCAACCCCTGGGTCTCGAAAGGACCACCCAAAAAACCAGGCTCTATGTCTGACAGTGTTGTCCAAATGCTTCTTGAACTCTGGCAGGCTTGGTGCTGTGACCACTGCCCTGTCCCAGTGCCCGAGCACCCTCTGGGTGCAGAACCTGTCCCTAACCCCCAGCCTGACCCTCTCCTGTCCCAGCTTCATGCTGTTCCCTCGGGTCCTGTCGCTGTCCCCAGAGAGCAGAGCTCAGCACCTGTACCTCTGCTCCCCTTGTGAGGGAGCTGCAGGCCGCCATGAGGCCTCCCCTCAGCCTGCTCTGCTCTGGGCTGAACAAACCAAGGGACTTCAGCTGCTCCTCACCTGTCTTCCCCTCTAGGCCCTTCACCATATTTGTTTCCTTTGGACACTCCTTGTTTCTCCTTTTTTTTTTTTTTCTTTTTTCCTTTGGACACTACCAGTTTTAACACTGCTGGCTCATGCTCATGAGCGAGGAGCCTTACATATAGCATTTGTTTAGCTTAGGAGTGTAAAATAAATCTGATTAATCCTTTTAGTGAAATATAAATTGTGGAAGTTACTGACTTTCTTATTTCATTTATGATTAGCCATGCTTCATTTAGTATTGAAATATGTCTTCTTTAGCACTTAAGACTCTGCTACACTAGTACAAATAATTTATATGAAAAAGTGTTTTCCATTTTTAGTAATTTTAAAGTATCAACTAATTAATCCACCATTTCCGTGAGCGTAGAATGTCATCTAACATTGTCTAGGGTTTTGTTTAAAAAGCGTAGGAAGTAGGACTGCTTACAATAGTCCTTACTTACACAGTCCTATTTTGCATTTCTTGGGTTTTAATAAAACAAACTAATGTAGATTATTCCAGTAAAATGCTTGTTCATGGCCCAAATTAGGTTCTGTTACAGTCATGACTATTGGAATTATGACACATCCTCTCAGATACTAGCCAGTTATCACTTTCCAGTACCATCTCAAACAAAGTTCTTCTAGTATGTGTGAATATAATGCCAGAACCATTCATCATTAGCTCTATAAAATAAATCCCAGAATCCTCTTAATTAGTTGTTGAAACTCTGTGTAGAACAGTGAATTACTTGTTCTGTGTTCCTGGTGTAAAAAAGTCTTCCTGTTGATAAACATGTGTCTTTCTTTTGATGCACAAAGCAAAAGTTTTTTGTTGTTGTTTGGATTTTGTTTGTTTTTAATTACAAGATTTGATTTGATTAGTAATCAAAAAGTTATTAAATATTAAATTGTTAAATTTAGAGCAGATTGTTACTCTTTGCAGATTTATTGTGGTGGCCTTTTTGTTCTGTTGTATCTTTCATCACATAAAAATGAGTTACATGTATATTTTCTGATAGATCGCTTCCTCATATTTTGAGGAATGTTTTCTTCTAAAACAGACAATATTTCAGCATATTGGTCTTCCATTGCTATCTTAGCCCTAGGCAGACAGAATCACAGAATCATGAATCATTTAGGTTGGAAGAGACCTCCAAGATCACCTAGTCCAACCTCTGACCTAACACTAACAAGTCCTCCGCTAAACCATATCACTAAGCTCTACATCTAAACTTCTTTTAAAGACTGCAGGGATGGTGACTCAACCTGACACTTCCCTGGGTAGCCCATTCCAATGCATAACAAACCTTTCAGTAAAGAAGTTCTTCCTAATATCCAACCTAAACCTCCCCTGGCGCAACTTTAGCCCATTGCCCCTTGCCCTATCACTGGGCACATAGGAGAATAGACCAACCCCCTATAATTTGTCTCAGGAAGAACTGATGGCTAGGAAAAGATTCCTTATTTTTATAATGTAGGAGTAGTCATACAACAGTGATGATAATCATAGAATCATAGAATCATAGAATATCCTGAGTTGGAAGGGACCCTTAAGGATCATCAAGTCCAACTCTTGACACCGCACAGGTCTACCCAAGTTCAGACCATGTGACTAAGTGCACAGTCCAAT